GATGTCGATCATTAGGAATTCACTATACACAACAATGACGATTTATTTTTTTCAATTTTGGCGAATGATGCTGGAAAGAGAAAAGCCTCCTTCTCCTGGTGTTAGATTCGAGATTGCGCTTCTTTGGCTCAAGATTCTACCATTAAAAACGCTTGTGAAACTTATGAAAAACAACGAAAAATTAGAAGAAAATGGAAAATGCAAAAAAATTGAAACTGCCTGTAGCTTCTGGGAAATATTAATCTACGTGAAAAATAAGTAGAAAAACAAGCGCGACAAAGATGATTTTATTTGTAGCTTAAATCGTACAGGAAAGAAAAAAGATCACAACAGGGATTGTAAGAGGCGTTCTATGCAGATTGACCTCTGTGCTTTTGTGAAGCGGTTGTAGTGAGAGAGAGAGGTTGAGAAAGATTTGGCGACGTCGGACAATGGAAAAAGGGCGAGGAAAAAGTTCATAATTGGATACTCTAAAAGGAGTTTGGTACCTAACTTTGTTATATCGCCTTTATCGATGAATTGCTAAAAGGTATCGAGTGTGACAACAAAGAAGCAGAAGATTACTTTTTCCTCCGCAGAGGAAACCCAATAGAGGAAATGAAGGTTTGCTTCAGCGCTACACATTGCTTCAATTGTGTACGGTCCACTACTCGCAAAGGTTTTCGGCCACGCCCCAGTCCTAGAATTGCAATTTCAGGAGCGTTTTCTTCAAGAAAAACCGCCGGCACAAATTCGAGATCTCGGTGAATTATAGTAAAGGAACTCGTCCGTGGAAGAAAAATTCCGCATTTCGTTCCTTCGTATTGAGAAAAAAGCAGGTTGATTGAATAAAAATAGGATATTACCACCAAAGTTATGAAGAAGCGTGATAAAAGCAGAAAGGCATCTCTGCTGGCACCACAAAGGCACGGCAACTATAAGTCAATGAAAAAGGTCCTGCTAGGGATAAGAATAAGAAAATGAATGAAAAGATTCCCTATCAATGGGGAATAAGGCAGAATGAACTGGAAACGTGAAAGTTCTCGGTAAGGAGGAGGCGGCGGTAGATGAAGTCATGTAGCAAAGACGGGAAAAGGCTTCTTGGATTCGTCATGAAACTTGGGTATTGCCAAGTTGAGAACAAGTTATTTTTAGTTTTCACCCATGAACAAAGGAAAAACTGGTTGGCTCCGATCTGGTTTCGTAGGTGTACGCCATACACTATACTATGAACCGGAGTAAGTGGACTTACACATCTCAACACGGTTCACGTCTATACCAAGGTTGGTAAAGATCAGCCGAAGTTCAACCAACTATTCTGTTTTTCCTAGGCATTAATGGTAATATGGGCAACTATTGGGTGAAGGCGATGTAGTGGCAAGTGGCGCACTTCACAAAGCTTAGTCACGGGTTCGAATGCCGGGTCGATATCCGCCCAGGTCAACCAAGCTTACCTTCCCTCTGGCATCGACTAATCGGTACCAGATTCATCTGGGAGAGTGAACGCATTGACCTGTACATAGGTTGGCCACCGCAAGGCACAGACTACCTACCATTCAGTACGCCAATACAATTTTAAGTGGAAGTCGAGTGCGAAGGCGCATCCCTCTGACGGAGCTTAACACCCGAAAACTTTTCGACGTTATCTATGGTAATAACCATCTGGTCCCAGAGAAGTGGTAGGCGTTGTCAGCGTGAGTCCCCCTTTACGATGAGGCAACACTATCAGCCCTACTGAACCTGAATGTACAATTAATGCATTTCTGGAAGGCAGGGAAGAGACTGAAGCGAGACTTTTAGCAACATAATGACCCCTGACAGAGGTAGGGATGATGAGTTGCGTTCTGACCTTCCGGGATGCGGAGTGCATCTGAATCTCGCTCAAAATTCCAGGTCTAAGAGCGTTCATCGGATTAAGACCATTTCTCAAGGTTAAGAACATTTTTCGATGATGAGAAATATTCAGCTAATTTGTTCGAGGGGTGGGGATCTACTGAAGGACTGCAACACTTTGATTTGCCATTACAGCTAGCGTTTTCTCTGCCTAATTTTCTTGGGGTTCTGCACGAATCCTGGACTTCTGGAAACTAATACGATGAAAACACAACCTTCTATAATGAATAGATGGCATTAATTAAATTTTACATAGCGGCATGACACTTGCTAAACAAATGCCAAGTGGGTTTCAATCAGTGGCTTAGCTTCGTTTCTGGAGCTCTCGAATCTTTTCAATCAAGTCTACTGATGGCCTTTCTGACAATTAGTAGTTTCTGATAGTAAGACTCGGAAGGAACACATGAAACTACACTAGGCGCACTTATCTCAGAAAATCTCAAAGGTCAAAAATTCGTCCGACTTTACCTTGTTGATTTGAATGAGGAGCAAAAGTGAGAAGCTCCCGATAACTTGAACAGGAACTCACTTGGAGATCCATCAGAGCTTTTTTTGGAATTCCGTTTTCTCGCGGTTGATCGTTTGCGACCAGCCATACCTGGAATTACCATGATCGCCTTAGAAATGATGTGATGCCAGATTAGAATCGCTGTGACAACAGATGTGACGTATGGCTACGGCTCAGAGACTAAAGGTCCTTGTATCATCGCTGCATACTTATGGAATCTCGCGAAATAGCCTTATTATTACTACCCTGTTTTTCTAGGGCGTAGATGGGGAAATCCGATGCGATTACCTGTAGAGGGAGGGCTACGTGACACCCGGCATGGGTTGCTCCAAAAGGGATGACTTTTTCGATTTTATTCTCTGGATTTCTTTTCTCTTTGTTAAAGGTGGGATTTATTCTGAAGAGGAATTTTACTGTCTCAAAATTTTATCCCTTTTTTTCAGCTCACTACTTCGTTGGAATTTCAGGCCTGTATATTAGAGCCTAGTCGATCAAAAACAACCCACCCAACAGTACTACCCTAAAATTCCATAGATAAGAGCGGTTTAATTTACCGGTGAAAAATGAATTGGAATGAAATTGAAATTGAATGCAGTCACCCTCTAACTTGATGGNCCATCAAGTTAGAGGGTGACTGCATTCAATTTCAATTTCATTCCAATTCATTTTTCACCGGTAAATTAAACCACTCTTATCTATGGAATTTTAGGGTACTTATGCAGACTTGAGATGTGGCCGAAGACGATTTCCGTCATCAAGGAACAATCAGTTTCTCTTTGAAAATACAATGAGTTCACCAAGCTCACTCCAGTGGACCGATTGAGCTTGACCGGAGCCGATTGGAATGGGTCATTTGCGAAATATCGTGACATTCAACCGAAGCTTTTCATCTGACGGGCTGTGCTGTTTAGGTACTGTTTCTATACACCCCAGTTCGAGTGATAATCGCGATGCGTTTAAATGGGGCCTTGCTGCATCCATTTCCCCTCAAATAACTCGGAGCCATCAGATCACTTCTGTTACCAGTCTTTTTCAACTTGACTCTTCCTGCCCGCGACAAACCATCTGCCATTATCTACTGCAGTTGTATTGCACCACTGCTCTTGTTGCCTTTGTTGGCAATAGATGATGCTAGACAAGGGTGCCGACCAGATCAAGTTCGGCGGAGTGTTCTATTCATGCAGGTTTGGATCTTCTAACTATTAACAAAAATGGAATGTGCAACATCGAGGAATTCCGATTGAAAAAAAAAACAAAGAAAAAATTCATTGCTCGATGATAATCGGTAACTCGTTCAATATTGCACCCAGTGACCGAATTATGTGGGTTCAGTAGTCTGTGAAGTCAAGGCAATTCATGTAGCTTTTGATACTTCCACGAGTCTGTTCTAACAATGATTTTCAGCAAATGCTTTTTTTCAGACATTATAGGCTACTTTGTCTGTTCAATCGGTTTTTCAGGATACTTTCAGCGACGCAGAGGATAGAAACCACCGACTGTAACCGCTGGGTTAGGTGGTAAGTGATCGCTTCACCAGGTTTCTATCGAACCGGGCTGACTGAATTTCGTTCTTCCTCATATAAACTGTTGATTTACACGTTCAGGATCAATCTCGTCGAGTATACATTACAGCTAGTGGACCCGTTCCTAGCCCATTCTCGCGTGAGCTCAGTTCAATTCCCACCCGACGGTTCGACAAAGTGAGGACCCAAAAATGATAACGTGCATCGAAAACCTACCCAGGGCTTTCGAATTCTCAAATGTCCTAATACTTAATTCCTATTTCTTCAAAAGACTGGTAAATGTACAGCTTATCACTAGATTGAGAATAAACATGTATGGACTACGGTCGGGACCTGCTTCTCTTTTACAATACCCAATCCATAGTTCCTGTGTTCATAGTGCGAAAATAAGAGTCCAATTAAATCCCCATAATACTGGACCTTGAAACTCGAAGCGTATCTGGTGTCTACTCTCCTCATTGAAAAGTGCCTTGACGGTAACTCGCAATTGAGAAAAAACTCAACGAGAAATATATCTAACTTGTGGATAGTGAATTTTATTGTGATACTTCATGAAAAGAAGTTAGCCACAATTAGCCCATTACCACGAGTTTTATACAAATCACACAAATCAGCTACGGAATGATGAAAAATTTTGACACGTAGAGCGTTGACAGAACAGTTTCAAGAACTAAATTCAAGCAAATTCAGTTTAAAGCCAAGATAATCACAGTAACCACTCGTCTTGTAGGACTCCAAGGAGCTGTTCGTCATCGGCCAATCTCTTCAGCTGGTTCCCTTAAAAAATGTCAACTGTTGAAAGTGAAGTGTAGCGGAATCTACGAAAAAAATAGGTAGACTTTTCGTATCGGTCGATCTAGAAATTGGCGAATTCACAATACGGATGTGCTGCACAGCCTAGTAGCATAGTATCTGAACAATTCACAGAGCAGAATATTGTGTTACCTCTGCGCGGTACGTCAAAACTAGTAGCAACCTAGCGCGTTTCGCTCATCTGCTTTACAATCTTAAGCTGGGTGACTGTTGTGTTTCAAATACTTTGTTTCTATCTATAGGTACGGAGGGGAGAAGCCCTGGCGTGTACTGCGAAAGGGTATCTAACGAGATTCGGCCTTAGCAGCCATAGGGAGAATATAAATGGAGGATAGTCTAAACGCGGCCTTGTCGAAAAGCATCTCTTGAAGTGGCAAAATTGCAACCCTTCTTGATGATAATCTGGCACAACTTTTCAAAGAAAGATACCAAAGAAAAGTAATTATGTACTACGAAAACTATCTACCTTGCCATCACTCTTTCGAAATGTGGATCGAGATTTGGAGCCAAAATTGGCTTAGCGACAGTAGCCCAATTTTCTTCCCATGAAGGCAGGCTATCATCAAGTACGAACTGCTTCAAATCATGCAGTTTCTGAAAAGAAGAACATCGCAAGAACGATTTTTCAAAGGTATGTTGTACCAAGTGCTGCAAGTGCAACTTTCGATAATCTCTGAATGTCGCACCTTGCAGTGAGTAGGAAACCCTGTAGCAAGAGCATAGAGATGTTGGAATAGGTCTGTCGCCGTGTCGAACAACTGCCCATTTCGACCGTCTTGCACCAATTCGCCTATGCAGTTGAATCGCTTGGCTAACACAGGAATCCCTGCACCAAACATGTCTACCACTTTCATTGGCAGATCAAGACCTTAATTGGCAATCGTTTATCATAAAGCTTTAACATACGTTCTGCTCATAAGAGTTCAGGGCTAAATTATTGGCATTCGGAAAGAAAGCCAAAAATAGATAGCTCTTTAACAAAATCACACCTGAAGTGCTTGTGTGAAGCGACACTCCGAGATCAGCAGTTGCAATCATCAGAGGATAATCCTGCGACTCTAACCATGGAGTATGAATCTAAAAACTAGATAAGTTCACAATCGGTTAGTGATCTTCAACAATATAGAATATGCCGACGTACGGTGGTCAACGATGCCACTGAACAAAACCACATTTAATAAACTTTTTTACGCGCCCAAATTTTCTCTGTGAATCTCGACAGCTGCAAATGAGCATAGGAAAGTGGCACAACCTTGCCAGCTCGCGCCGACTAATCATTCCTTCACAGGACGATTAGTTGGTACCAGTCATTTTTAAATCGGGTCCCATGGTCGCACTGTGTATTGGACTTACTACCGCATCATCTTCGCGGCAGCAAGATTCAAGCAACCAACAGATTCAAAGTTAATATTAGTCATCTTAACTATCAAAAATCATCTTAATTAATAAATTAGCTTAATCAAGGTATTCTTCACAAAACATTTACCTCTACATATTCCATTTTCATTCGCTGAATCTTCTCCATATAAAATTCCTTCAATGGGCCACGTCCGGTAATAATCAGCGTGATGATCGGAAGTCGTGTCGCAGGACTCCTAGAAATTTATATCTGAATCTCCGAGTTTTCTGAATTGTCACCTCCGTACACCTCTCAACTTGGTACTGAAGGTAAAACATTGAACGTTCTGAAGAAAGTCCCTTACGAGCTTCTGCTTATTGCTGCCACGTCATTATACTTCTTGGCAGCATCCAGGAGGATCTGGAAATCCTCATCAGGTGTCCATGACGTTGATGAAATGACCAACAGCGGACGGTCATCGCGAAGGTGCACCTGACGAGACGACGGATCGCGAATCGTAAAGCGAGTGGCTAAAAAATACTACTGAGTTTGGACTATTACATCGTCACTGAGAGTTCCGTAACTATAAGCAAATAACAAAACACTAGAGAAACAAAAGAGCCAGAGCTACCAAGAAAGAGGACTTTAGATAGAGCATAGGGGACAAACCATCTTCTGACGGTACCGCACCGAACACCTGCCCGTTAGTGCCCAAACCAAGTCGAAGCAATAATTCGTGTTTGTCATTCAATGAGAACTCCCTGAAAATGGAGGACATTACGGAATAGAGGAATTTTTGAAAATTTGAATACTGGNAGTGACCTTATGGTCACCTTAACGACAAACCAATGTAATGTACACTATATGATGTTCATTCCTGCAAGCCAAGTTCAGAATTCGCCAAATCCTCCCCAAAGCAGGTCATGGGCCCTTCAGCCCAAGTTGCCACTGAGTGTGGAGCCATTCAATGGCGTTTAGCAATACATATAACCGTAAACCCGAAAAGTGGCCTCGCCGCTATGGTCTGGTCTATGGTACTAGTCTTTGGATTCAGGAATCTTTCTAAACCAACCTGAAAGTGCAGCTAGGAGCCCTATCGTAGAACACAGCTGTATGCACACCCCATGCCCGCTGAAGGTCTTCACGCATTGCACGGGTCACGCAGAGACCTGCATCGGCACGGCGGCCAAATGCACCTTCCCATCGATATATCCACTCGATATACCTGGAAAGGTGGAACATGGCGAATTGGAGATCTATCTGTTCTGTTCAGAATGCGATGAAAAAGTGAAACTGAAAGCAATCATGGGGCAGGGGTTTCAATGGGAAGACACCAACCGTCTTTTGAAAGATTTCCTTTCTTTTTTCTCGCCTGCGCTGTTCTGACGCTTCCTTCTTGACGAAACGACTGCAGTGTCTCTTTCCTCAAAAGGAACATGAACAATCAACAAAGTCACAGTTGATACAAAGAAGCATGCTCACTTCTCTGGTGTTTTTACGTTTAACCACATCTTTGTTGGAATCTTTGCCTTCAGAACCATCTTCTACCAGACGGGGCAATGTGAGCTGATCAATACCTAGAAGGGCAGAATGAACCCGTTGGGCAATCTGTGCGTGAATACCAGGAAATCAAGAGTGGAACACACAATTGAGGAAAAGCAAGTACTCACTTTCGACGACAAAAACTGAAAAACTTCGAAAACAGAAAAAATTGGAAACAAAACGAGGCCCTGTTAATCTCGGCTTTACAGAAGCTTTTGCCTGTTAGAAACTTTGGAAAACTTTGCAGAGCCATCCACTGAATGTAGTAACAAGGTGTAATTGTGTCCACAGAAGATTTCCAGAGCTTATGTTATGTTTAGAGAGCTGAGTCCACTTTTAGCGGGAAGGAAAATCGATGTATAGCTTCTTGCACTGACACTCACCACTTTTATCTTTCAAAATTGACCACATATAGTTGTGCCAGTCGATAACGAATTTCGAACTCTTCAGGCGTGAAACCTTCAAGACCAACGTACTACTCCATATCTGAGCGCAATGAAACATTATCTGCTGCTAACTCACCATCCAACAAACAAGCATCGTCGGTAATGCTGGAGGGTTCTGCATAAATATTAGTTTGACATCCCATCCTACTCTGTAAAAACGTTACCATTGGCCTATTGACGGCGAGAGAGAATGTTCTCGAAGAAGATTCTTGACAGATACTGACCTAAACAAAAGTGCCCAGGAAAGTACAATGAAAGTCCATACAAACTTCAGAGGCAATTGTAGAACTTCTGGAAGCCGAGCGAGTCGATCTGGCGGAGGGGACAGTGCGACGTACCTGAAATGTTAGGATTTGTAACCATACTTACAGCTGCGAAATTTCTTACGATGGCGACGTGAATCTCTGATTTTTTAAAAATCTAACAAAGCGTTGCAACGAGCTCATAGCAGAGGGCAATTACTATCGCGAGCAATGGACCGCAGTTGTAACTTTTGGGGGACAGCACAATCGTTAATTTCTCACCAACTGAGATCTATCTCGGTCAACTTCCAAGATCAACAAATGTCCCTGGACTGCTGTGACAATCAGGTAATATAGGAGCATAGTTTTTTTTTATCAGAGTAGCCCCATCTTTTATGGTTACTATCAACTAGATTACGCTGATGTCGTCATGAGCAGGTTTTTGAGAAGGGATGAATGTTTCGGCTCAAACTATTCTCGATTTCTTTACAAAAACAGAGAACAACAGAGTCTGTATTTGGGCCAAAGCTTGCTGAAGAACATCAAACTCACTTGATGTGGGGATTATTATGAATGAGTGGATGAGGAGTCGAATCCAAATAACCAACAATGTTCACGTCGTAGTCGAGCTGTGTTGCTAGTGAGTATGCATGGTAACACATACGTGGGCTTCGACCTATATCACCAAGCACCACAACGGCGGCCGTATAACGCCTGAAATATCCAAATTCTCTCAAAATCCTCGTAATCATCATGTTTCCCTTTGATAATGGAATGATGAGGAATTTTCCATTCCAGTAGGGCAGCGTTCCCCGTTATGAGGAGTTCTAGCATCGCGTTGCCTCTGGAGAAAGCCTCTTCGAATTCTAATCCCATGCATCGTCAGTTCTCATTTAGGTCTACGCTTGGGGTAATGATTAACTAATCAGTAATCCAAGCCCATACTTCGCATTCTTCTACAACTTGCAAGCTCACTGATGAATGAATCCGCTCTCATGTTACAGTCATCAGCCATCCCAAGTATGACAAAACAAGAGGAGAAACTCTCTCATAAATCATCTCACCAAAAGAAAAAATATGCTTTAATTTCGCCTTGTTCAGCTTCACCAAGAATAACATGCAGAAACTTAAAATCTTTGTGATTAATCACCTTTTCATTGTCTAGTGGAATCCAGTGACCTTCGATTTGGCCTCCTTCTGCAATTCTGAACAAGAAAAAGAAATAATCTTCTGAAGTCGTTTCACATCACAAAATAGGACTGTTAAGCAGAGAACTCACTCTTATTTTCGATTCTTGCTGTTGCTAGTGGTTCTCGAAAGTACAAAGCGATACCGTCCGGCTTTCTATACACAAACTTATCCTATAAGTAATAAACTTAATATTGCAACCTTACTAATGTGGCAGATCAGCTCAGCACTTGTGCTAGAACAGCATTCCTAGCATTCTGATATAGTTTGTCCTTTATTTTCTTTCTCTCTTTCTTTTTAAATAGGTGTGATAAGCGGATTTCACTTGAAAATCTGTACCAGATTTTGACAAACTCATAGGTTTTGTTTTTTGAATTTTGACAAACTGATGGGTCTTGTTTTTTCGAATCGAATTCATTACAAGAAAAGTGTGGACCATATATAAATAGACATGCTGGATAGCCACTTAGTATCAGACACCGGCGACACATCGAGGATATGGACTAGCGGGTATCTTCTATGTAGGCGCTTCCTAAAAGGCAACGACAAGGTTAGATAGATTCAGGCTAGCTTCCCCATAGCACAATGCCGGAGACCGATCTTCATCGAAGCATACAGCAAACATATGCGAAATGCGATACCAAAACCACGAACGTTTCATTATGGGTTTCCACTCAAAAAACAAACCTTGCACTTTTCCAAGAACCTTTCCTGGCGCTCTAATTCTTCTACCTCAGTCAGTCGTCTATAGATATCAGCACTCATCAACTGAAATTGCCACCACTGAAATGAGCAGTTTTTATGATCTACGGCCTTTTCAAACACCCAGAGTTTAAACTCAATGTCTTTCACAAGGTAACTCTATACACGACTTCTCGCTGTCACAGAACAACCAAAAGAAGAAGCCAGTAAAAATTTGAGATGTCCTGAGTGATCCACTCCTCCTCTCATGACCCACCTATTCAAACTAGACTACCCGTACGAGGGTCAGGGTAAGCTTTTTAGATCTTTTCTTAACATCACTGTTAATGGTCTTAATAAATTAGGAATAACCTCAAAGGACAAAAAGTGGTGAATATTCATGCGTTCATTACATTTTCATTCAAAATCACATTACAAGTGGTCAGTAATTCGAAGTAGTGCGACGCAATAAGAAAGAGGAAGAAAGCAGCATAAATATCAAAACAAACTCTCAGAGATCCTTTAAGAGAATTTCAATGAGGATGAAAATACGTTTGTTTCACAAGAAATTTGTTAGAAAAGAAAACAACATGCAAATCAACAACGATTGACTCAATACGAAACATGTCGCATCAGAACTAACGTCTTTAAAACAAACGAGATAAACAGGAAATGAGATAATTATAGAATGATAATCATGCAAAGTGTCTTTCAATTTAGATCATAGGTAAACTCATAAATACAGTGAAGTGGTGCTTATTCACCAACAACAAAGACTACAATGTAGCCATGGCTGTTATTATAACGCATTGACCTCGTTGAGTTCCTTCACGATTTGACCTAACTGAGCTAATGCTTGTTTCATAGGGATTTTCGGAGTGGTGTTCGCTGTGGACTGTACTGTCGTCGATGAAGATGTGAACACAGGCGGGAGGTCTGGAGATTGCAGAGGAGCAGGAGATGTCATGAACGGTGGAGTAGTGGACACGGGTGGGGGAGAGATGTCCGACACTGGATTGTCAGCAAATCGAGCCCTACAAAGTTTTAGCAATACAGGAAGAATGAACTTAATGTGAACGGCCGATCATATAATTGAGCCAAACAAAGAGCTCACTTTCGTACTTCTTGGAACCTATTCGCTTGTCGTAAACCATCATCGCGTGGCTAAACAGAGTCATAATAAGTAAAGTGGACTGAATTGACGACATCGCTTTTCAGATATGCGATTAACAGTTAATGAAATGATGTACAAAGTAATAATATTACATAAAGTATTAGAGTCAAAAAATGAAATTATATAAAAGGAAATAAGATTGGTGAATTCGATACAACTGATATGGAATCTACAACGAACCATTCCATCACTAGGTGATACCTGTTTTATAGAAAGCTTGGAGGAACCTGAAAATAATGAACCGTAACCGAGTAAAATGAAAGGTTTAATAATACACTCAAATTTCCTCAATTCCCAGCCGTTTGAACTTTACTTCAAAAATGTCTTATACATCCCGTCCGAGTGTTCTAACCGACGAACTGGTTCACCAAGGAAGCACTTACTAAAGGAAGCGACTGGGGAGGGATGATGCTGTGGCGTAGTGTGTGTTGAGCCATTTCTTGACGATGGAGAGCTCTGCGCCTGAATTACATTAGATTCCACAAACCCGAGAAATCTCTCAAAAAAGATATTAGGTGCTCACCGCACTATTGGCGTGACCGAATTCACTGAACGACCCTCTGGATGCACGTGAGGCTGCCGGACTCACTTCGACAGGAGTTCTGTATTTTTGTTTATATACTTTTGTTTTCTTTACCGTATCCAATTCAAGTAAGGAACCTCTGCACACTATCAAAGCTGCCGACATGACCCTTTCTTGGTGCGGGAATAGGCGTTTTCGGTGGCCCAGATGAGCTCGCTGGGGAAATGTCATGAAGTCGTGGCATAAAACCAGTTCTCGGAGAAGGACCAGAGCTTGGGCTCGGGCGAGAAGCCACTAAATTCTCGGACTGATTATTGAACAACTGTGAAGGGAAACCAAGGGATTGTACCTCCATCGCTGAGACGTCTCGTATTCACACTGAGCGGTGCAATCACTGGTGGTCTCGGCGGCTCTTAAATAACATATGCTAATGATGACACACATAGGACAGTCAATGAACAGAGATCAAATGAGAAGATATTCACCTGGCTTTGAGCTTTTTTCTGGAGTGTTCTTACTCGCGTCATCTTCATCGTGATGCTTCGGTTCTAACTTGTATATTTTCTTGTCTTTCGGTGGTGTGATGTTCTTAAAATCACGAACTGAACTCTTAAGTAATTAGATGATAAAAGATTGATGGGGTATCATTCTTACAGAGAAAAAAAAATTCGCACTCGCCTAAGGTTAAGGCTATTACTGGTTCCAATTAGAAAAAGGGTTTACTATAAATTGTGGCTACCGATACTCCACGTGTTCCGACATATACTAGAACTTTGTAATATTATCGCAATTGATCGTTCAGGTCTCCCTCTAATGTCTTTTAGGCTTAAGACGCCACTAGTAAAGGGTTACAGCTGATACTTCGAAGTGCAGAAGTTCGAAAACATGTGAGAATGAGTGCTTGAGAACATCAGACTGTGGAGCGATACGGGTGTAGCAACGACTTGACATCACAGTCATTTTCAACGATATTTTTGTATTTTTAGGGGTTTCCTTGAATTTCTGAAGTGTAGACCACTATTCTGGGTGACCCAAAATTAAGGCGCCAAATCACAGCAGTTAGGCTTCATTTTAAGCTTCTAAGCTGGCATGACAATGGAATTTGTGTAGACATTTGTTTACATCATGGGCAACAATAAGCGACAATCATATTTCCAAATATCCTACGAGAGTACAGATACAAGCTTAAAGTCTGTTCTGTCTCCATGTTGCACGCAGGTGTCCTTCTTTCATTTCTTCCCGATCGTTTTTGTCCTTGGTTTCGAGGACTCTAAAGTTGGATGACAAACTTGGCAGGTTTCCCTTCCACTAAAGACCACGCAGAGGTGCCTATGGGTTGAGATCTGGTGAGCAGGATGGCCCTTTCTAGCAGCTATTGAAGCCGGGCAGCTCGAGTCTGCACCGCCCTTGAACAAACTTGGAAAAGCTTGGTTCTACGCTGCAGAGCCGTTCTGCACCTCCGGCAATCACTGAAAAGAAATCGGATCGAGGTTTGAGTGTGTCCACCAATACGTTCCCTAAATACTTTCTTACCCCCTGTTACTATGCAGATTGTAAGCAAACCTACTTATGAAACTAATTAATCACGGATGAGGTGAAATTAAGAAATATTAGTTTTTGAATTTCGAGACCCGTAATTTTAGGAAGTACGAAGAAATGAAGACGAAAAAAGCTCACCAATTTCGATTTTCGATATGCACTTTGGAATTGCCCCGTCCCGAGCTTCATTATTTCTGCCATAGGATCATAATTATAGGCATTGGGCACGACCGGACCATCCTGGAAGTTGCTATACTCATTGACTTTTTCTAAAATATGTCTAAAGTTTAAAACTACCTGTATGGGAGCCATAGGCAACCCTCCTACAAACATGGGTTTATCTTTCTTCGGATCATGTTTTTTCTTGGAACTTTTAGGAGTTCCTTGAAAGTACAAAGGATGGTTAGAAATCATGCAAATTGCAAGCATATGTGTTGCTGTGGCTACGACTGTTCTTACCGCCCAGAGCGTCTTCGAAAGACAACGACGTTTTCCGTTTAGGCGTCTTCTTCTCCTTCGCTTCCTTTGCCTTCTTTTCAGATTTCTCCTTCTTCTTCTTTTCCGATTTACTACCTTTCCGTTTTGGCTGCAATTTAAAAGTAGAGAATTTCTGTGCATTAATAGAATTTTAGTGTATAAAAGGAAAGAAAAGCAACCGACAACTTCACAAACATCAACGAAAAAGGCATTCCAGCAGATTTTGGTTACAAAATTTCACAAACACCGATCGCACAACACACACCTTCTCCTCATAGTCTTCATCATCATCTTCATCGGCTTCAAGTACGGCTTCAGCTTCCGCGTCGTAATCTTCATCTGCCTGACGTTTTCGTGATGTTGATGGTTTTGAAACACTCTGAACGCATACTCTACTCAACGCGACCACCTCGAGAAATAGCAGACAGTAAAGCCAGACATGCTTAACGGAAAAAGTACTGTTGGTTGTATTACCGTAGTACGTAACACATTGTATCACAGAACCATCACAACTGAATATTTGCAAGACACTAGTATGGTAACGGCAAATGTCGTACCTCATCATCTGGTTCATCGTCCGGCTCCTTTTTGTCCACATCTGCCATGCTTTCACTTTTTACATGAGCATCACCTTCATCCCCTGCATCATCCTCCATTTTCTGAAGAAAGTTTTTTGAAAACACGAATGGCGCGTCCCAAGAATTAGTAAAAAGCTGATAACATGGACGTATTATTTAAAGAATTCTCACTACAAAGGAGTAAAAAATAATAAAGAAAACAAGAAATTTCCTTAATTCCAAAGAGACAGATAATAACTCCCTAGGCAAGAAGAACTAACCATTTCTGCGGCATCAGCACCGTTTGCCACGTCATTAATACTTGTTTCATCTTCGGTATTAACATGATCCTGAACAATTTATTTATCAAATAGTAGTGAAGAAGGGCATCCGGGGTTACTCAAAAGCTTCGTACCTCTGTTTCTTCACCAGTAGATTCTCTAGCTGCAAGGCGCGATTTCGTAGCACGCGGTGTTCGAGGGGTGCCCTTGAAAAAAAAGCATTGAATCTGCAGAAACAACAATTTTCAAGTAAAAACAACAACAAAAAACAGCTCAGTTTTGAAGGGAAATGCAGTCACCTGTGACTGCCTCCTGTAAGGGCGTTTCTGCTTCGGTTCTTTCACCGGTGTAGGATCGATGAGCTTCATCTCAACCTAAACCACAACTTCTTTACTACATTACCTACTACTTCAGTCTTCATAATGATCGGATCTCTGTTGTTACAAAGAATGCACAGAAGCAGGGCACAAGCAGTTTTATGAAGTTTCGACAGAGTGCGAAAAACGCACGAACGATTTGGGGTCACCGCTACGTCCACCCAACCACAAATTTATCTTAGCCTTCAGTCCGCGACAATGACCGAGCCAAAAAAGTGCCTTTTGATAATATTAATTCGCCAATCCTTTCACTGCTTGCTCATATTCTTCCTCCGATATCATCAAAAAGACACGGAAAGACCCTATGCATTGCTGGCTTTCTATGCTCCTTATTGAATTCGATATTAGGGGCAAGGAATCGAATTCAAGGATGGCCTTCCAACATTAAGTAGACATCGAGCATAATATGAACAGTTTCACAGTGCGTTGCATCTCTAGCGCACTATCAATAAGACGTGCAAAATAAGCGGATTCAAAAACAGAAGAAACAGCAGAGCATCGTTTTAAGGACGTGTATTTAAAATTAAACAAGGAGAGAAGATATGAAGAGCGACAAGGTCAATTGTGCGGTAAAGAAAGGACGTGTGAAGAAGAGAAAACAGCTTTGATTGAAAGAAAAAACACGAAAGAAAGGCTATACAAATGGCTGAAAATTCGATGGTCTTTAAATAAAAGAAAAACATGTGAAAATTACGATTAATCAAGGAATCGCAAATCTCGTCGATGTATCAATGAAAGACAGGAAGAGGACAGCTAGATTAAATGCCGTGAAAATGACCTAGTCTCCCAAGTGCAAAACACCCTAACGCAGGCAGGAATGGGAGACATGACGACTGTGTTGAAGAACTGTAACCTCTTTTTTGATGCAAAAAATCAATGCGCACTGGCGTTTCCTTACAATGACTGAATTGAGAAAGAGCGAGCAAGCTATGAATTTCGAGGCGGAATAAGATTTTTCAATAGAGGAATCAAACGTGGCAACGCACAAAGTGAAGCCTCTTTCACGTTCAACTAATATACATGTCTGATCGTGCTTCGACCATGCTCAATCCTAATTCGATGCGACAGCATCAATTAATCAAAATGCAATAAATGTAGGTATTGACATTCTCAAAAGCAAATACCATTTGAAGCCAACACTAACCAGTTGTTCCCGCCTTTTTTGGAGAATACAGTTGAAACAATTGAGGAGGCTCGCAGGTTGAGTTATCCCTTCAGCTACATCCAGTAACCTCTTCTTGCGCAGATATTCACATAGTCGCTCATATTCAGGTAGTAAAAGATGGGAAATACGATCGAGTTCGGCTAAAAGACAGTCATAATTGGTAACTGGAATTGTTGAAACAGCTCCAAAAAAAAAACTAAAAGCCTGACCCTGGTTAAATTCGATGGGAGGTTCTTCGCCAATTGGATTACGGTGAGCGCTAGTTGACCTCCCGTAGAGATCATGAAATATCTGAAGAATTGATTTACGAATTCCTTCGATTGGAATTCATAGAGAACAGAAAATAAAAGTGGACTAACCGAAGCTTCATGATAAAAAATATGTGGATTAATTGTATGTGGCATGACTTCCTTCTTCTCTTTATCTACTTCCTCCGCATTTCTTTCCTCACCACTGGTAACTTCTTCTTCAATATTTTCATCAGCTACTGTTACTCCCTGACTAGCTGAGGCAGCTGCTGCGGCAGTGTTATATAGGAGAGTATTTTCAGCATGCATGGCGATGACGTTGACAACACCTAAACGGACAGTCATCGACTTCACTACCCACATAGTACCACTCCCATTATGACAAAAATCTGCTTCAGAGGCCAACGCTGTTCATCGTTGTGTCGTTGTCTCCGAATCGGACGAGCGTCCCGACGACGACAAGCCCTTATCAGATCCCGATCACAGCTCGCAGAGCAAGGATGATTTTCTCGTCATTAGCAGAGATTAACGATGGAAGTCGAACCTGCGACCTCGATTATTGTAGACCGGCGCCCTATCCACTTAACCAAAGGTCACCTGACCACAACAAGTGCCAAGATGCACACGTACCATTGTCTTGAATTTCGGATTGATTGTTTATGGCGACTAGGTCTTTTTGCTCAAGTTGTATGCCACCGCTCATGTAGTCTTGATAGTTTATCTGGAAGACGTATAGATTCGTTCAAGATCAAGAAAGCGAACAGTGGGGAAGGTACGGAGTGGAAACTGACCATTTTCCTATGATTTCCTTTTTCTTTCCAGAATTTTCCGACATAATCGAATCTAAACACAAACAATCGTTTTCAGCTGTCAGGAACTTGCCAATGCTGATCAAAATTGCAAACCTTGCACTATCAATCCGAGCTGGTCGGACGTACCGGCGACCAGTACATTTCAGAACGACATCTGCGATTACATACAACATAAGTTCTTCTATGTAAGGGAAACGAAACTTCTTAGTAATCTGAAATATATCTGCTCAAAAAAGGAAGTTATGAGAGCAAGATGAAGCCTGATCTCAGCTAAAATTGAGTAAAGGAGTATTTCAAAAAACAGAAAATCTAGAAGTATTCGGGAAGCTCTTGCACAAAATAAATCATGGGATCATAAAAATGACCTCAACATAAGTGATACCATTTTGCAACAAATAGAGTTGAGTGCTGTGAGGATATACTACGGAAGATGAACTGCATTATCACTAATATACAGATGAGCTCCCTTTCCAATATCTGCTGTCAGGAAAAGGAATAGATCCGCATTAAAGCCAGGCAAACCCCTTCTTTGCTTTTATTCATAGTCCTTCTTTCTCAGCGTTTGTCTCGGGCTCTCAGGGCTTGCTCGTGTGGTGTACTGACGCCACAACTGAGGTACAATAGTCATTAACCATTTGGATGTGGGTGGCATGGGTGTTCGTAGGTCCGCTATCTGTATAGCCGCCTGAGCGGACAGTTCCTAGTAGCACCCCGTAGAGGGGCGGAGGAAAATCTTTCTTTGCTCCTCTTCATTATTCTCATAAATCGTAAATCATTCTTCAT